CTTTTCCCAATTTCAGAGAGGTTGTTAGAGCAATTCTGTAAGGCTCACAACGGAATGAGTGATGATTATGAAACATTATTCATGGCATTATTGAAACTAGAGTTTATGTATAACGATTTATATTCTATATTGATAGTATCAACATATCTGTTAAAACAGGCCCCATCAAACCAGCAGAGATTGGAAATCTTTCGAAAATGTCAGCAATGAAGAAAATATGAGTCATTTAAAAAATCTCAATAAATGTCAGAGTCGTTGAATGAAGTTAAATGTCTCATTAACCTACACTATTGGATAACGATTTTGGCATAAGATAATAAGGAAGAAAATAAACAATGATTTGTATGTAAATATCCAACTGACAGGAAAACTGTTCAAATTTTTCATATTGACAAAAAGTGTAAAATCAAATTTTTTTTAAAAAAAATTTCAAATTAGCATTATCGAATATGATTGTTGACTTGTTTCACTGCAAAAGAAGAATGAGAGTTTAACACACAGAGTAAAAATATATTGAGAAATCCTCTCAAAGTACATATTCATTTCTCAGGCTATGATGAAACTAGCTCAGTAACATATGTTTATTAGTTTCACAGTGTATTGAATATACATACATAAATGTAACATTATAAGATTATTGTATTAAATGACCTTTTTAAATTCAATATTTGACCAGTTCTACGAGATTACTTACCCTTCCTATGACGACGTTATGTACACTATTGAATTTTACAATCTTCACAACTCTATGCAGTAAGTTATATGTTTTTTTTTCTTAAATACATTCCAATCAGACATAGTTCAATATTTTAAAAAAAATCTATTGAAATACATATTCTATCAATAATGCATATCACATGATGACCAAATTCATAATAATAATAATGATTGAACTGTATTGATAAAATAATAAATGATACATCTAACTAGCCACAACTACATTATAAAAAAATAGTCACTTGATGTAGAGAATCGATAAAATGTTAATAACTAAACAACCTTGGTTCACAACTATTGCCACGATAGCTGAAGTGATACATTGCCTCAAAAGCTTCTAACTAGCGGATAAGCTCAGTGAATAGATCATCGGCGTAGAAAAAAAAGTTCGACAGTTGAACACAAATGACTAAATGTTGATGTCAGAGTTCGACAATACAACTTATTTTTCCCGTAGATATAACCAAACTGAGCAATGCGCTGATACTACTTCATTAACTAATTTACCACCAGCCTAATTACTTCAGTTGTATACATCTTCGTGTTCAGACCTGTTTTCAGAGGAGAGGTGATACAGTGGTGATACGTGATCAGCCAAAGAATAGCTTTCATTTCGAAGGAATAATACATACATTATTGGTAGCTTAATATTTTCAAGGATTCATGTATATAGACAGACAGGCAGATACAACACAGAACTTCGTACATAAGTACATCAGTTCAGGTTGCCATACCATGGTCTGCACAGAGACGTAACTGTCAGTTCAAATCCAACAGTGATAGTGACAGTAGAATTATTAGCAGCAATGGAGAAGATTAGGGAGCGAAGATATGATTCAAAAAGTATAATTCAGTGAAATAAATTTAGAAGGAAAAAGATAGAGATTATGAGGAATTCAGAAGGTTAGAATTAAAAAGCACACAAAGAGTGGATACACTTGAGCCATTGCAAACGATTCTGAGCCATATCGTTCAAGATCTCTAACCATTGGTGACTTTCGTCTCGCGGACAACGATTCATGTATATATATAAAGGTGTACATATACATACCAATTCAGTGAGTCAGTAAAACTCAATTTTCATTCTGTCATTTCACTCGAGTAGTTGCTTGAGTTAGTGAATAAAGAGATGGCGCATCCGTATCAAATCTCGGACAAGGCAAATTACAACATCATTTTGAAAACTAGACATATTTTACCAGTGTTAATAAAGCATTTGTATGCAACTATTCGACAATAGAATGTAAAGTGAGATATCGTGAGTGTTATCCTCGTTAGTTTACGTACTAAAAATGAGTATAAATCCACATTAATCATAGCCCTTCAACATATATTTGATCTCGTTGAACTTATTGTATCAGCATTTTTTAAACATTTTCTTTGATAAAAGTACACATAGAAAAACATGAGGCAAAATAGCGTATTAAAATACGTAGGCAAAACATTTGCATATTTATGAGTTAACTCATTAACAAATTAAGAAATTGAATCATACGTTTGAACAATGAATGTCAAACGCATAACAAAAAAAAGAAACTCCGAAAAAAGACGATAATTTTATCTGAATACTAAAATACTACTCAATGAATGACAGTAAATGAAGATTTGATTTCTACTCAAGTTTTATTATTAGTTTGTGACGAATTTGGTCTCGCATGCTGTGACGGGTATGAGGGTGGATGTCACTTCCCGGCTGCCCACACTGTGGAAGGGTATTTCTTGAGGAATCTAAAAAGTAAGGTAGGTTAGTGTTGGTCTTGGAGACCTAAGAGCGTGACCGCAGAGTCCAAGGGATAACTGCTTGAGGCCGGTCACGCACGGCCTTGTTATGAGCAGTTTTTAAAGTATTAGCTCCGCCCTTAATGCCGGAGACGGAAATCCGTGAGGCAAGGTGAGGTGTGACATTTTTAGGGTCGACCTTTTCTAACCCTTCCTTCCTTGTGAGAACACAGCATCGCTGCAGATGCTGGTTGTCCGAGGGAAACACCTTACTGCTTTCACACCTCTCTACAGTCAGCAGTACGACTTCGCCCTCACTGCTACTATCACTACCACGATGGAATTTGAATTGACAATGGCGTCTATGTGCTGATACGTCATGAAAACCTGAAATTATGTACTGATGTACGAAGTTCTACGTTGTAACTGATTCACTGACTCAAGTTTTATACAACTGTTTAAACACAACGATTATATCGTTTGTGGTTATCTACATGATAATAAATCATTTTCTTTAACTGACAGACAATCAATCCAAATTGGATCCATCATAAAGAACTGATTTAACACTTGTGAAGTAACTAAGAGGCTCATTTCTATATACAATAAGCGTTGATGTTGTGAATATCCAGAACAGCAATGACAGATCAGTATTTAAACCATCTGGCTGACATTACTCAACAAAACTAAAAGCATCCACCTAAACTGCAAGTCTCCAATATATATATATATATATACAAAAAACATACTGGCTACACAATATGGATCTGTAATCAAATTAGAATAGTATACAAGATGAATATATAATATACAAGTACAATATAGTTAGTTTTGTAGACAGAATGAAATTATTTTATAATTAAAATTAAAAATCATAACTCTAATTAATTAGATCTTATTATATATATAATAAAAAGAAAACTACACTAGTGTTCCGCCAAAATTCCACCTACACGAGAAAGAGAGAATTTTTTTAAAATATCAATAATAATAATAATAATAGAATGAATAAATATATCAACCTATGTATGTAGTATTCTGTAATATGTCAAGTGCTTGTTAACTCCTGGTGATTTATACTATAAATACGCTGAAATCTTATCTGCAATACTAAATAATAGTTAACCACTAGGACTCATCGATTTTATTACAAGTGAACCCGTGAAAAAAAATGGTTTCAACATATCACAAAATGTATTCATCAAAAATAATACTTTAATAGATTATTACTTGACTGAAACCCCTTATGTATGTAACAAATAAAGCTTTCAGTCAATTATGAACAGTATAGAAACTGATATAAATATGCACATTAGACCAATACTTCAAAACTAACAAGCGCAACGAGATGATATTACCTCAAGCTGAATAGAAAATGAATCGCGACAATCTAGTACCAATTGATAATAAGCGAAAAATACAGTTGAAAAAAATTGAATGAAAAGTGATACATAAAAAGAATACAGAAGTCCATGTTCTAGAGTAACTGCACCTGAATCTACTGTAACCATGTTAACAAAGTCTCCAAAAACTGATCCCAGTTGCCTTTAAAATCTTAACCAGGGTGTTTGCATCTACACTAATAGAGTTTATACTGATTTTCAGCAACTTGAAAGACTGATGGTACTCTTCAGTTTGACAAATTGACAAGTTATTTACTCGACAATATATACCAAGTCATGAGTTCTCGTAAGTTAACACTCGTACTGTTATGCATGAGGCTGTCGTGTTACTGATTAACACAATACTTCTCTGAAAACATAATAATTCACTCTAGTGATAATTAAAAATGACTAATTCCTAATATACTAAGTTTTAGCATACTTTACACGTATTCTGAATTAAAGTGATTTAACCTACAGACTCTGATGCCTTATCTATGTGTATCTATCCAGATTAAATTAAATCAAATAACACAACTAGTAGAGTTTATATTCAATAAATATCTGTCAAAATGTTTTAGAACTATCAACTACAGGTCAAAAGGCAAATACATACATATTCAAAGAATATTTCATGATATCTAAACATAACTGATAAGTACATCACTTCTTTAGTGATAACAGCGAATAACTAACTATTTCTGATCTCAATAGAATCAGAGTTCTCTCTCAGACTTATTTTACTTAGTTAGGATTTAACATACGTCATCATTCAATGCTCCAGTGTAAGACACTCTTTTGCTCATTGATTCAAGTAATTGATTGGTCTTCTATGCATAAATATATTAAATAAACAAAATCAGTTTTCAGATAGTAATATATATCATAACTTAACTGAAACAAAACTTAATAGATTTAGTTGATAATATTAATAACACGCATCAAGAACCTAGATTTAGAGGTCATTGAAAGTTTTATTAATGCTTATAAATAAATAGATCATATCATTATTATTAATAAAAGTAAAACACTAAACAAATAAATACTCTGTTGAATTCCATCCATTATCGGCTTCTTTTTTTCTTATAGAGGAAAAAGCAAATACACTATGATAACAACAAGTATAAATCAATGCTCTATAGGTTATAATATTGGATTTAGGAAAACAAAACAATAACTTACTTGATCTGTTCTATTGCTAGCAGAATTACGAGGCATTCTGCGAAGGCTGTGTGAACCAGAAGAATATGAGTCACCTAATTATATCGAAAAGAAAATAACAACAATAAGAAGAATTTATTCAAAGAGATTTTATGAAGACTGATTTAAATGCCATTTTTATAATACTTGTCACTAGTGGAATAACACTGGGAATTTTCAACTATTTTTTTTAAAAAACTTTAACTGTTTCTCTTTAATTTCACATGATAATACCTGTTTTCAACTTGCGTTTGTCTGCATTCTCAACAGTTTTAATCACATTCATAAGACATCAATATGTCTAAATCTTATTGTCCCATCTCATCTTGGAACAAAAATACCGATATGATTTCTCTAATTATTCCACAGTATTCAAAAATAGTGATGCGATGTACACTTCTTTTACTGCTTTTCTCTTTTCAAACCACCAATTTTTTTTTCTCAGTTGCTTTATTCTGTATCTTAACGCGAACTTAGTGACTTGAGAGAATTGCCTTATAAAATTGTTTTCAAGTTACTGACTCGATCTCAGAAAACCGAATATATGTAGTGCTATAAGTCTATATTTTGTTGTTGTTACATGATATCTAACACCGAGTTTATTATCAAAAAATTAATTGTCAGTTTTAACTGAAGGAATCATAACTCAGTTAAGTCAGTTGACAACAACATAGAACTTCAATGCATCAGTTCAAGTTGCCATACCACACAAGCACAGAGATGCAATTGTCACTTCAAATCCCATAGTAGTAGAGGTAGTAGAAGTGTTCGCAGTAATCGGAAATTTTACGGTTCGACGATATTATTCAAGAAATAGAATCTAGTGAAATAAACTTAAAAGAAAGAATAAACGTGATGAGGAATTCAGAAGATTACGACTTGAGAGAACGCAAAGAATGAATGCACCTGCGCCAATGAAACAATCATCAAGTAAAAAAGTGTGATAACCGACCGATACCTTGTAAAGCAAGTGCAGTAGGTGTTGTTGCAGCAGAACTACGTCTTAATCGTTCCATATCGGCCAATGCTCGATCTCGTTCAGTTTGACTTGTTTCTAACAGACGTCTGAGACGATCTAATTCTGTGTGCAGCTGATTTTTCTCTTCCAATGCAGCCATTTTTTCACGTAAATGCGTCTGTAATCGTTCATTAGATTCCAAAAGTAATTTGTCAACCTTTAAAAAAAAGAAAACCAGGCTACGAGTAAAAATAATGATATCAATCATTAAACGTCGTTACATAATTAACTGTCTGTAAATTATGGTTGAATAATTATACATATTTCGTTCATTTTTATATCACATATGAAGTTCAACCTGTTCGGGTGTAGACAGTAACTACCGAAGACAGTGTACGAGGTTGCGCAACTCCGTTAATTGATTGAAGTTAGACATAAACACAGTTTGATACCGGCTCAGTGGTCCAAAGGTTAGGCGTTTGCGCGCAAGACCGAAGGTCCTGGGTCCGATTCCTGCGAGGTGCAGGAGTCGTGGATGCGAACTGCTGACGAGTCCCAAACAAGGGCGAAACGGCCGTACAGTGCTTCCAGGTTCCTAGTGGTGTTCTAACATTGATCGACTCATGGTTTCAAAATGTGTTACTAATAATGCATAAATTTAATATTATAATATATTCATTCAAACATGAATTCAACATACTGTAGCAGTTAAACGTGAACTATGATCTTCATTTAATTGTTCACGTTGTCTAGCTCTTTGTAATTCTGATTGAATTTCATTCATTTCAACTTCCATATCTTTAATACGTTCTTCAGCTGTAGATAATTGTACACGTAATTCATCAACAACTGTTACATTAGGATTATTGTTATTATTATTATTGCTATTATTGCTATTATTACTAGTTGACTGAGAACTCCTATTATTGTTTATGGTAGTTTTGTCATCATCAGAAATCATTTCATTTTCGATAGATTCAATAAATTCACCACCATTTTCCTTAGCTGTATGTTCTGCATTCATCATAGTTGATGATGTCGTTGTTGTTACAGTTGTAGATGTACTTGATAATGATGCATTCAATTTTTCATATTGTTGCATTGTATTCACTTTGACAATTGCTAATTCATTTTGTACTGTTTCTAATTCACTAACTAAATGATTAGCATGATCTTTTGCCTTTGATTATTATTGTACAAATGAAATGAGAAAAAAAAGAGTAAAGATTAAATTAATCAAAACATCTTATTTTGATTATTATAAAGTTAAGTGATGGCGACACTGTTTAATCTGTAGATTAAGAAGTTTTACATTAGCTCTTACTTTCTTTTTCCCACATGCACGGTTTAGATCGACAAATAGCTATCAATAAATACGCTCAACCTCAGTGAGATTGAATGAAGAAATCTCGAGTGCTGTTAAGAGTAAAAGGTTGGTTATCACTCCACGTTTACTCTTACAATTGAAAGATAATTCTGATTGAGATATCCCGAAAAGGTTAGTGGTCATTGTGACCTGAAAGTGTGACCACAGTGCTCAAAGTACAATTGCATGGGGCTAGTCTTTTTATAAGTAATTTTGGATGTATCAGTTTATTACCTTTAAATGCATACCTATGGAGTAAAGTGAAGTGTATAATATTCAAGACAGGTGATATAAAAGATTAAGGATCGAAGCCAATGAATCACATAATCATGAATCAACTGAAGATAAAGATAAAGAATGCAAATGTACAGGATGATGAAATTTCTAGGGACAACCAACCGCGAATAAATTTAATAAATCAAACTGAATCGACACTTGTGAAATAAATCTTAACAGCAGATACATAAAGTTTCTCGATAACAAACATCCAACTTCAACGACCTAATGCTATCAAATAATTTACAGTCAGAATTGTGAAACAGACTTCAGGTATTTCTGGATAGTCACATGATCAACCTGTATTTCAATATATATATATATATATATATATATATATATACTTTGCGAATAACTCGTTAATGTTTGGTTTCTTGGTCGAGACGTCCGTTGCCACTCTTATTTCAGCCACTTCGCTCCTTTCATGGTATTGGCAATGAACCATACTTTGTGACCATTTTACCGCTTCTCAAGTCAATTATCGCTTTTACCTCTCTCTTAGGAAATCTGCTCCTAATATCGGTCTTGATAAGCTTGTGATTACCACGAACGGAAAATTTATCTCAGCTCCACCCATTTTTACAATACTGTTAGATACCCCGAACACCTCTAGCATATGCCCTCCTATGGTATATATATTTATAATCTTATTGTAGAGGAACTGTATGCTTTGCCAACACTTTCTTCATCTTTTTTTAGTTGATGTTACTTAGTGAATGAATATTGAAATACACTATCCAGACATATCCACGTGATAAAATATCGTAAAAACAGAATAGACGTAACAGACGATATATATATATATATATGTTGTCAGACATACACAACAACGTTTACTGGAAATCTATTGTCCTAGCCAGTTAGTTAGTTAGTTAGTATGCCATATAATTTTTGATTTTAAGAGGAAGGGAGAGGGGGGCTAGGAATTGGATGTAACTAGTTAGTTAGTGCCTTAAACAACAACCATTCAAGTGAAAATCAATAAATGCAAGTTAATCACTGCATTCTTCCGGAACTTGAAAATTAAAAAATAAAAAAAAAACTAGAAAATTTTATACCTACAGTCTAAATTGAAACTTTTTCTTTTCTCTCTCTCTCTCTCTCTCTAGTGAATACAATCAAACAGCTCTGTTATTTCAACAGCAGCAAAAAAATCTAACTATACATTTCACCAACATTGGAAATATCAAATTGAATGAACGTAAAAAGAAAAAACAATAAGGCAAACAGTAAAATGAAAATAATTTTCTATGAAAATAAAAACACAACAGATTACCATCTCCTTGTAACAGATCAATTTTCAACCTGTAAATTCTCTTATTGGCTTATATAAAGTAGAGAAATAGTTTACCGTTGTTATCCAATGAGGAAAGCATTGAAAAGAAAGTGTAAAAGATTGACAAAGTAGTAATAATAGTAAATCAGTAGTCATGATGGTGAAGCCGGAAAATTTCATATTTTCTGAATTTCTTCATCAAAATGCCTAACTAAATATGATTGATTTACTTAGTTGAGTAGAGAGAGATGTTTCTGCCTGGTGAACCTGAAAACAGGAAGCAAAACGTCTGTCGAGAACTTTGATTCGTTTGGCCGACATAAGTTTCAATTAATTTGAAACTGATAACCACTTAATACTTTGTTATACCTGTGGTTACTGGAAAATTATTTCCAACATCAGAAAATACTTAGTTATGCACGTTTTAAACTACTGAACAAGATTTATACTTGAATAAACTCTTAAAATGATCAACTAAAAAAATGATCTATCCGTACACGTGAGAGAATGAAAGAATTCGAAGATATGGGTCAGTCACAATAAACGACACATGTAAAGTGATTCAATTTTCAAAAAAACAGGGAAAAAAGATATTGTCTTTAGAGTAATAAACAGCTATACACAATCTCCCAATTGTTTGTGATATTACTTACATAGTTAAGAAGTGTCATGTAATATTGACAATAAACTCCACTGGTATATCACCGTGTCAGTGGTTCTGCCATTCTCAGGCCCAGTTAAAGGAAGGTAGGGAATGGAGTTTTAAAAAAAAACCCAGAACATTGACAATAGACTAACATATCACTCAAATTGAACAAATTTAGTACATTCACGAACTAGTTTGTTAATTTTCACTAACCTGTTTCAATTCAATTTCACGTGTAATCAATTCTGATTGAGCTCGACTAAGTCTATCCAGTGTACCAGTAGCTTCACGTTGTGTAGCAAGATAACGTTGTTCTAATGTTGCAATACGAGCTTCTTGATCTTCACGTTGAGCTTCCAACTCTCTTAGTTCTCTTTGTAGGCGAGAAATCTACAATATTCAAACGATATACTTTGTTATCTTTGATTGTAATTGTTGTATGAAAAAAGAACTGTTGTATGAATGAATAATGATGCAAACACTCTTCTCTTCAGAGAAAATTAGGCCCTTTATTCTAACATAATAATACGAAGTGATCTTGACAATTGTTGTCAATCTGTCAAATCTAAACTCTTCAATAATAGTGGTCGCATTATGTATTAAAACGCACACCAAATGAATTCAGTTCACAAAATCCAATAGCACCGAAAACTAATCGAAAATTGTTTGGACTGCATACACTAGAGGAACTATCCTGTAAAAAATCTCCAATGAGGAGGAATTATGGTTAAGATATGTATCTGTCCATTGTAATCTAACGATTTGTACGATCTGAAATGTTAGTTTTACAAAACGTATCAGAACAATCACACAAAGAAATAGGGACGAATTAAACCTGTGAAAGGTAATTCACGTTTTTTTGGCAAAGCTTTCCGCTATATACATTCAGTTACATTGCTTCGAATTGATTCTAATCAAGGATTTACCAGTGGCGATTTTTTTTAATCCTAAGCAGTCTATTTACATATCATCTAATTCCTTATTATTCCATAAATGTAACTATTTTTATTCATGTCTATGTATTTTTACTTCACCAATGTATTATAGCATCAATATAACCGTTTACTTAGGCCCCAGTTAATCAATTACTCAATGATGTACAAAGTAATGAATAATAATGCTATTTGGAACTTTTTGAATGTCAAGGGAAGAATTGAGGGAAAAATTTTTTTTAAAAAAAAGTCATAGTGAATAGAGACGCTACATAATTTGCGAGATAATGGACGTGCACGAAAAAAAAAATAGTTAAAACCAGATGCCCAAGAAATATTGAAATCCCACGATAAAAACTGTAAACACAAAAAAAAACGACTCAGACTACTAATTCATTCATAGGTGATCAATGTAAACCAGACAATAATTTATTATATAACTAGCCATTATTACAAGGAAATTAACAATACACCAAATAAATACAACTCAAGAATAAAGAGAAAAATTTTTCTATGAAAATCAAACCATGAATAATACCTTCTAAATGAGTAGTATTAAGTAAGTAATACTTTTCTCTGCAAAATCTCTAGCTGATGAAGACAATTTGAAAATATGATTAACTCATATGTAAAGTCGATAATTTAAGCGACTTACTTAACCACACACACACACACACACACGAGTCTAAACAAACGGGCGTCATAAAATTTATTGATCATCATAAAATATATACTACAATGTTAGTTGTTTCCAGTTTTTTTTTATTTTAAATTTACTCCAGTTAATTTTTCTCTTCACATTAAACAAGTGTGTGTCCTACTGTGAGTTCAATTATTAAAAACTTAATTTATTTATTTATTTAAGAATTTACAAAATTAACAAAATTACACAATAATTTGTTTTTTTTTCGCATTCAACAAACTACATGATGATTAATTTATATAATATAACGAACGCTGTTAATGATAATGACAAACAATAGAGGAGAGAGGAGTGTGTGGGGGGGGGGGGTGGGCGGCATATATCGCACATAAACTATCGCGTGACAGTCGACTAACTCAATTCGATCAATAAATTCGATAGTCAATTTTTTGCTTCCTTCGTTTATTTTTTTATTCAATCGATTGTTATCATCGCTGTAGTTTAATAAGACTTTCATTGTCCACCCCAATAGGAAAGAGTAAAAAAAAAAGCAGTTAAACTTACAGCGAATAAATAACACTAAGCGAACAATTTTAATGTGAAAAATTAACTATAAGCCGAAGATTTATGATTCAAACAAATGATTCTGATAGAGTTACGCTGTATAAAATAACACTTGTCGGTAGAATGTGATCAGAACGAAACTCCATTAAACGATTGATTATAAAAAGAAATTTAAGGCTAATTTTAATTGGTCAAATAACTTAACAATTTTCTATAGAATTTGTAGACAAGAAATTGAAAATCAATCTAACCTATTCGAATGATCAATATAATTTATGCTTTATTTATGTAAACAAAATGAATCAATTCAGACTAGATATTGGCAATGATTATCAATTAGTTTTGACAATATATGAGATTTTAAATTGATAAAAACTTTGAATTTCTTTAAATAAAACAAATCCGTATGCTCAATTGTTCACTAGCAATTAAAATTTGATGGTATTCAACTGTTTACATTAAAGTAGGCATTGTGAAGTTCAAACCTGAAACCATGAGACAACCGCTCCAATTCATTTTGATTTCAATTTGCAGAGAGTCTAAATTACAAGTTACTCATGTCAAGTGTCAGATATTTAACATCTATGGTAATAGAATATCATTAGGCAATATTACGAAACATAAGATTCCAATTAATGACCTAAACTAATCATGAAACTTGAAATTCCTAGGTTCAGTGTTATGAGGACACGCTCCTTTTACAGGCTTAAACTAAGACAGAGAAACACTTAGTACTTCGTGAATTCCAAAAATTCTTCAATTGATATCACTTCACAGTATAAACAAACTTAAGGTATGTTGAGACTAACTTAACGAATATAAACATAAATTGGGAAAAACGAAATAATCGTATAACAACGTAGAACTTCGTACGTATGTCCATCAGTCTAAGTTGCCATAACAAATCAGTACAGAGAGATGGAAACGTCAGTTCAAATCCCATTATGGGTAGAGATAGTAGCAGTAATATAAGAAATGAAAAAAAGTGATCAACGACATGGTTCGAGAAGTATATCCCAATGGTTTATAAAGAGAGAAAACGAACGATCATGAAGAATCCAGAGGGTCAGAACTTGAAAGAAGACAAACAATTGATGCATCTGCGCATTACAAACGATTTCGAGTCATGTCATTCAAAGTCTCTAACCAATGGTTACCATTATTCCGCGGACCGAAACCACGTAGTCTACACTTACCAACATGACTCAGTTCAGTTGTCAGTGACTCCATGGATTTATGCCATGTTTTGGCTTGGTCGCCCCTAACGTTCTTCCAGCCTACTCCTACGTCAGACAACATCGCTCATCGAGGAAGTCAGTGGGGGTATACGTAACAAATATCCCAACCACCTAAACTGATGAGGATTCACTACTTCAATAATTGATTTTTTAACCTTACTTAGCACCCTTTTTCTAACCGGTAAATTGCTTACTCAACAGTCCCAGGATATACGAGCAATGCTTCTAAGACATCGATGGTCGAATAGCAGTAAATTAAATTAAAAGGTTAGGGAGAATCAGTGGATTTCAGTTGCATCTACTGAACTAATAGATGCTCAGAAACTCATCCCCCCTGGTTTTGAACACTGTAAGCACCGGAGTCAGCTTAAGCGTCAGCTGATAAAAAGCCTATGCATTAATCGGGAACAGGAGTGAGCAGAGAAAGCGATGGAAAAGGCATCATAAGTAAGAGTAGACGACTGCTCAAACTTATCAAGGAAATTGTTATTAGGAAACCGATTTTTAGTGAGACTATCTCGGATAAAGACGAGACTATTACTCATTCTCAATACAGGAGATTGGATCGATTGCAGAACACTTTATGGATCAGTTCAAGTGGCCTTCAACCACAGTTAGATTACACACGACCTCCAGTCAACCTGAATGGCGTGTTGATATAAGTCCTCCAGCTCTTAATGACGTTGAAAAGGCTATAAGCAATGTAAGGCAAAGGAGAGCATTAGGCCAGAAAAGGATAACCCCTAAGACTGTTAAGGATAGTAGTTCAGCCCTAGCAGTGAGATTGACTGAGATCCTAAGTAGAATCTGAGAACTGGACGCAATTTCACCTGACTGGTCTCAATCATTCATTGTCCCGGTTTATAAGAAAGGACAAAAGTTCACTTGTGACGGTCAAAAAGGAATCACAGTAACTAATATAGTGTCTAAGATATTGGCTTCAATAACGCTTATATGTCTAATTAGAGCTCGTAAAGAACAGACTGATTTCAGACCTAGATGTGGATTTATAGACTAAATATTCACAATTCGTCCTAGATCCTAGAGAACAAAGATACATTTCCACGTCCGACACTAGTTGTATTCCTTGACCTTAAGGCAGTAGAGTGATTGAAGATACAGGTCTCATGAAATTTAGAAATCATCAACCAGATATACCTCCTACATTTCAGTGTCAATGATCATGTTGGAATTCAAACCCAGTAACTTTCGCTTCAAACACCCAACAAATTATTTGTCAAGCCACTACTACTGTGGTGCGAGTTACTTATTAGTAGTATATGACATGAGTGTCAACGTAATGTCTGGCAGCAGAAGATGGGCGCAGCTCAAGAACGGAAGAGTTAGAAAACACAATGGCATTTGTATGAAACGCATGAATAGTGTCGATGGATTGATGTTTTGCAACAGGAACAATCCAGTTCGATATGATGGACTACTATCACTCAGTTCAAACAAGCTTTAACTTATTCAACAAGTATAATGCTTATATCACATTACTAATGAGATTTTCAATTATCCTGTTGTTGATATTCACAATCTATTTATCTAAATCAAGATAATAATAATAATAATAATAATAATAATAATAATTTCTACATACTACAGCATAATTATTAATAACCATCATTCAATTGGATAAGTTCATCATGGATGAAATATTAGATCTCAAGGAGATGAGGACGAGAAATATATTTTTAAAAAAAAAACATCATTTCGTTCATTATTGTTGCTGTTTTATTCATTTATATTAAAATTAATATTATTATTAATAATAATAATAATACTATTACTATCAGTATTATCTTCATAAATTTATAATGATTAGTATTATCATAATTAGTTTATTTGAACAATTCAACTTGTTTCTTTCTATTATGAAAAATATTTTTGACAAGTTAATAACTAACTAACTAACTAACTATTCATTGATAGTTTCGATAATTATTTTAGAAAAATTAGTTTAGTCTAAGTTGTTTTCTACTGGAGAAGAGAGAGAAAGAGACAAAAAGAAAAGTTAAGAGCATATTTGCCTTGTTCACATACATAATTTTTCACATTAATGCTCACATATATTTATTGATAGATAATTTAGCATAAAATAAACTGTAGCCAGTAGGTAATAAACTATTTAAAATTAGTGTATTGGCGGATAAATAATATTTAGTGAACATCAATTGAAAGACAGATAACAATGAGCGTTGTAGTTGTATGGATAATGTGTGTTCATTTAGACCTCGGGGCCAAGTGTGTAGTTGTTAGTATTACATTGTAACTTTGTTAATAAATAATTATAGTGTTTGATCAACCGAAATTTTCATAACTCCATTTCAATCGGATTTAGATGTATTCAAAATGCAAAAGTAAGTAATTGAGCGATACAGAACAATTTTTCGCCACCAAACCATGTTATTTGGTAATGATAATTATTTGGTTGAATTAAAACAAAATTGAAAGCTGTCATACACTTAAGCCAGTACAATACTAAAGTACTGTTGTGAAGTCTATTGATTGGAATCTGGCTTCAACTGAGAACTGATTTCATCAAACACTAAATGATTAAAGATAGTTTAAAATTTATTGATCGAAATAGAATGTATCAATAAAAGTACAACAACTTCAACAAAAATCACACAATTCTCTCAAAAATTCACTTACCTCATCGTGAGCACGTGATAATTCTTTTTGAAGTGTTGTATTAGATGCTTCTAAATCTCTGGATTTTGTAGTAACTTCAGCAAGTTTACGTTCAACAGCTACGGCACTGGCAGCAGCAGCTGCTGCAGCCGCAGCAACGGATGCAACTGTTTTTGCACCGGAATTTTCAGGAGAATTTGCAGATGAACCTTCATCACCTGAATCTTTTGATGCAATTGGTGGTCCGCCTGGAGGTAGTGAAGCTAGTTTACTGCCTACATCAGTTCCGTCATTATCATCTTTACTTCCTTGTGTGACGTGATTAGAATCGACTGATGATAAAACAAAATACAAAGCATATAAACTTTGTGAATATTTTATGTTGAAAGATACAGTATTTAATGGACTTTAGTGCTTACTAACTAAAGTCACTTACAAAGCATTCAGTATGAAACTGAAAGGTGAAGAATTTAACGTTCAAAGGTGACAGGAATGTATTGAGTGGAAAACTTAGTGAACATTAAGCTGTTAATCAGACTTATACTCTCATTAATTAATACAATCGAATGTTTTATAATTCGCTTTAAAAAATTTCATAAAATTGAAAAACTGGTAAATCACACTGAACGCTTCCACGCTTTCTGAAATCTACTAGTTGTACGTAATTTCATGGGAATCCAAAATGAAATTAATCCGATTCGCTGTATAATGGAAAGATTGAGTGAGCCATGATAGGTGTACTGGGCTAGGTTAGATAACCAGCCCATCAATGAAGCTTTTAATTGTCATTGATATAAATAGTTGAGAACAGTATTACTTACGATTAGACCTAACAGTCAGGTTTCAAATTGACTGAGGAATGAACGACTCATAAAATAATTCACTCCATTAATTAGCCAACGACATTTTATCATGTTTACTCTCTATTCATATTCTGTATATACACATGTTATCATTATATTACAAAAATTCTATTTATCTGACCATTGAGCTCCTTTGTAACTTTTAATAATTCGAGGATTTGTATCAATGATTATTCATTCAGTATCGAATGCAGACATCACTCACACGAATCATATCACTGCGTTCATCTATCGATTAGCATTCCACTTATTGATAATGACAATCGAAGGATCTAATCTCATTATTTGCTTAAAAAAGCCTTCCCTATAACACTAAGCAATTAACTGCTTTAGTGATTTATACCTGTGGTCGTAGAAGTAAGACTTTAAACAAGACCAGTTTTCTAAGTTATGCATATTTTTCATTGACCTAATCTATCCATTTCGTACAATCCACGTTCTTCTACTTTTTTTTCCTACTTTCCACTACTACTGACATTATTACCTTTTTTCGAATTTCATTGTGTCAATTTAAATTATAAGAATTTCTACTAGTTCACTTATACCTATTTCACAAACCTTACGTTTATACTTCTATCTTAATTACTATAGATTGAGGTTAAAAGGTTGAAAACCTAGCTGTAACATTTTCATGAATGTTTATTGACAAGAGCAAAACCATAATTGTGATCAGATTTTCAGAAAATAAAAACATTCAAATCCTATTTGCAGACACAATAGAATTGAATGGGAGTAATTATTCAAGAGCGTAAACAAAAATTTACTTAAGATGCATTATTGAGTACAACGTCAATCTTTTATCAATGATCAAGTAAGTGAATATTGATAACTCACTATTATTTCCATTCCCATTCATAGTTGACACAGATTGTTGTTGTTGTTGTTGTTGTTGTCGTTGTTGTTGAACTGCTGCAGCAGCAGCTACACCAGCTAATGCTGCAGCTAATTGTTCTCTTAGCGCAGCACGATCAGCTGCAGATGAACGTACTTCTTCTTCTAATTGTGCACCACGTTCTAATGCTGTACGTAAACGTTCACGTACACGTTCATCTAATGCTTTATGATGTTCAAATAATGATTTCAATGCTTTTAATACTTCCACTTCAGAACTAACACCACCAGGACTATTAACTTGTCGTTTAACAACTGTCATTCTTAATGAACGTTCATGTCTAGCAACTAAACATTCTAAATGTTCTAAAAGAAGCTGATATAAACCATCAATATAAAAAGAAAAAAAAATTTAGATTTTGTTTTGTTAACGCAATAAAGAAAAAAATATATATATTTGATCAATCAAAATAGTTCATAGTTTACATCCCGACCGTAGCTGCTAACTTGACGTGGTGGTCGGGCTTGACTATCGTGATGACCCAACCGAGCTATATTGGCTGGAACACATGTTCCTGCAGGTCCTACCATGCCAGCCAGAGAGGTCGATTGGAGAACGATGAGACTAAAAGCAGCTACCCAAGGTCTGAGGGCGAAGTCGTACTGCTGACTGCAGAGGGGTGTGACAGCAGTAAGGTGTTTCCCTCAGACAACCAGCATCTGCAGCGATGCTGCCTGCTCACAAGGAAGGAAGGGTTAGAAAAGGTCGGCCCTAAAAATGTCACACATTCCCTAACTCACGGATTTCCGTCTCCTTGGGTAAGGGTGCCCACTAAGGGCCCTTAAGAACGGAGCTAATCCTCTAAATACCTTTCATAAAAAGGCCGTGCGTGACCGGCCTCAAGCAGTTGTCCCTTGGGCTCTGCGGTCACGCACCAACACTAATCCATCTTCCTTTTCAGGTCCCTCAAGAATCAACCTTCCACGGTGTGGGCAGCCGGGAATTGACAACCGCCCACATACCCGTAACAGCACGCGAGATCAAATTGGTCAAAATCAAATCCTTCCTACACCCCCTAATGACTAGTTTACATCATGAATTGACCATAGTTACACAATCATTGAAAATCAGGAAGCATTGGAGAGCTATTTCTCCTCATTACACACTGCCCAAACTGTACACATTAACGATTCCATCAGGGATTAAATACAAAAACTTCCGGTTATGCTGTATGACACTAATCTTCATACCGTTGAGCTCTGACTCAACGATCTAAGTCATTTGTATGCACCATTGAAGAGTCCCACAGGGTAGGACGAAACAGTTGTTCACTAATTATTAGTTTTAAATGGTTGTATAACTAAGATCACTCCGCTATGTAAAATATAAGTTCTATCACAACAAACCTCCTAAACTAATAAAATACAACAATTTAAGATTTATCCCTCTATGTTTAAAGTAATAAAATTCATTCATTTATTTAATTCGAAATGACTTTATTCTTCATAACACAGAATTGTATAATATTCCGAAATGGACTTCAATGAACATTAAACACGCATTGTTTTCACCTACTTACACCCTATACAATGTCCTATGACAAAAATCATATTTACAAACAATTGTTAATGATAACAATCTTCTGAAAAAGTAATTCGTTTTCTTTTAATTGAAGACTGATTAGCCTTAAATACACACGCACACACACACACAGTTCAGTGAATCGGTATAGTCCAGTAAGAATCATCTAGGATTTACAATTTCTTGTTTGTTTATATTCTTAATCTTTGAAAGTAGTATGTCAGTGTGAAATGATGAATCCGACAGTAAGTAACTGAAGATCAACTTCAGAGAACGTTTTCAAAGAAACAAATATCAAAACGTTTGGTTATTATTATTTGAAATTACAACTTGTCATCAAAACGTTTCTAATTTTTGACGCATAAAACATAACTCATCATTAACGAAATCTTTACATCTTTTGATAGTCGTTTCTTTATAGGAAGATCATAATTGAAGAAATTAAGAAAAAACTATAGATCAATGTTACTTGTTATCACACTTGATTCATATCAACTTCGCTTTGTTGAAAAGTAAACTTTCATTCACTTGAAACCACTGTTCTCGTTTACTAAACCATAGATGCCCAGATCAATCGAATTTTTCGAGTGTCTTTCTTGTCAAATGTAGATTTAAGAAAGTAACTCATACAATTACAATTACAGTTAGAAGTTTAATCAGTCATAACTGACGTTAGAATCTAGTGTATTTGTGGATCAATCCATGTTATCACCCCCATATACCAAAATTGTAGAAGTAGTTACAGTGTATCAGAGTTGATAGAGAAATTTAAGCGAAGACAATGCAATTCACGAAGAATGAATCTGCTTAAGATAAGGAGGTATGGGATAAGTTTTAAAACTGAAGATCTAGGGAAGGACAAATAGTGGATGCATCTACATCACTCACAGTCATCAATCATTGGCTAGAAGTTAGATCTAATAATGAATGCAGCCTAAACTTATGAATTAGTTGTGAAAGTCATATAAAATATAAAAAAATCAGTAAATAAATCTGAAGATCCAACATACCCTTGTATTATTTCTCTCAGATTTCAATTCAACAATTTCTTCTTCTCGTTCAGAAATTTGATCACGTAAACGATGTACTTCTTTGGCCAATAAGGATAAATCCTACAAGTAAATGCACATAATGCATGATATAAAAATATTTTTTTTAAGGAAACTAATATCAATAAAAGAAATACATGAATAATATTTTTTTAAATTTTGATAGAAGCCTAATAAACAGATAGGCTTTACACTGAAAATATCTATCAAGCCCATTAACTCATTAATAATCTAAAACATGGTGCAAATTCATTGAGTCACTAACTACTGGACTGAGACATGTTATTAGGTGTAGACTACGTGGTTGATGTCCATGAGACAATCGTAACCAGTTAGAAGTGATGTATGTACGTACCAAGTTCTACGTTATTGCTGACTGACTCATCCCCAACTGCATTGTTATCGTGATGTACTAATTGAATAAAGCCAAATTTCGCATGAAACATTCAACCAAATGCTCAAATAGTAAATCTTTTATAATAGGAAAATCTAATCTGTACAAATCAAAACTAATAAGGAACCAATGAATTACTTAGGAGTTCATCAACAGCGATGGAAGTGTTTTTCGAAACAGATATAATGCGCTATTTATGGTGGACAGAGAATATAACTTTTATTAAATAAATACACACAAAAAGTAATTTCTGAGAGTTTGCATAAAACCAGCCTAAATATACTTGAAGAGTTTTTAAAAACTTTAAAGTATTACACTTTTCCTAAGCATTGTTGAATAAATAGTAAAAAAAACAGATGAAATGAAAAAGCCACATATTCAAATTACTATATCTTTACAACACCGATGATATTAATTCAAACAGTACTATGATTGCTACCAAAGTTTGGACAACTAATTGACTTTCAAAAAAACAAATATCCTAATAAGATTGTTAATGTTTTCTTATACAAGTGCATGATCACTGTCCAACGTTACTTCGAATAAGAGTACAGTGTGAGGAACTCTAAATCTGCCTAGAACCCTTCTAGTATAACTGCTAACTCTAAGCCCGGATAGAGAAGGATGCACAGGTATTTGGTTAGAAACCCCATCCTATAGAAAACAACCTTGCCAAAAAACAATGGTCAGAATCATTCACACTCTGTCCTAAGAGTTAAAGAATCTTTGTTTCGAAGAGTTAAGATGCCTCATGGAGAAAGACAAAAAGTAATATTCTACGATATAAGACAGCAGGCACCAACTAAATTACGCCTGACGTAGAAGCTTTGGATAAAGTGGAAACTTTTATATACCTGGTCAATATCATTGATAAACAGGGGGATCTGATGAAAATGTGAAAACACAGATTGGCAAAGCAAGAAAACAACTTTCAACCAACAATAATGTCAGAATTTTCAATACAAACGTCAAGACAGTTTTATTATATGGTGCTGAAACTCGGAGAACTACGAAAGTCATCATGCATAAGATACAGGTGTTTATTAGCAGTGGTCTACTCAAGATACACAGAATTTGTTAACCAGACATCATTAGCATTAACCTACTGTGACAGAGAACAAACCAGATTCCAGCTGATGAAGATATTAGGAAACAACTTTAAGGACGGATAAGACATAAATCGTGTTATTTCAGAGATTAAAATATACATACCCGAAAAACTAATTGAACTGACATTAATTAATATCAGTATATGGATCATGATGTATTATACACCACTAAGCAGCGTGAGTGATTGAAGGCCTATGGCTCCAAGCACCAGGATTCATTCACCAAATCTCAGAAACTAAAGCATCTCAGCAGTCTAGCTACGTAGTCAACTTTCAACCAAAAGACTCGAAAATTTCAATTACAATTCCATTCATCTTGATTTGAACAAATGAATTATACCATTAGCCCTTAGACATGTGCATATACATGGGTCATGAACTAGAATATATGAACCTGTACTTAATGTACGTGTGCATATTGTTAAAATTACTGAGTTTAAAATCTGGTACGATATTTCCGTAAACAAACATAATCGACCAGAAAATTTCAAGTATAAAAGACTTGACAAAATCACAAATAAACATGACAGTTTTCTCAGTGTACTAATTTTCAAAAAATGCTGCTTAGAATTTCATTCTGTCCTATTGGAAAAAAAAACAAAGCTTCTAATCTTTGTATCATCAGTAAAAAAGTTTTCATTTTATAGTAGTTATCAGTAGAATGACCTAACGATATATTTATAACATTTATTCACTATAATTAGTATCTAACTAAAAAATACCTGTAGAAAATGGTGTCATCAAGTTATGAAAGAAATATATAAACGCTGTATATCATCATATCACTGTCAACAGCATCTATATTTTACACACACACACACACACACACACAAGCATACACATAGATTTACATTACAATATCCTGAACTATAAAGAGAAAAAATAGTTGGTCAACTTATTGTATCGGGAAATACAATTTAAATAACGTTTATTAGACTGTATCCCAATGAGAATAATTAGATGGTATAATTTAGACAAATATTAAAGATTATTTAACATAAATACTTCTAATATTAAATTGATAATCAGATACGAGTTACTGTATTTGACACTGCCACAATTCAATTGAATCAGTAACACCAAGTGATTGTCCAAGCTAAAGCAAGTGGAGCAGGGATCCCAGTTACAACCGAGTAGATGCGTCGAATGTCTTAATCACGGAATAATTAACGTATTCTACAGCATTATGTGTGATACACTGGTAGTATGATAATGACTGACTTTGCCAAGAACATAAAAAGTGTGACTCCAATAACTATTTTGAAAAAAACAAGTATAGTTCCTTACAATATACATTTCTTTTCTTCTGTATTCTGTAAGAATAATGTAAATATCGTTTGAGTATGTTGATGGCTAGCTGCTTATGCTCTGCTTGATATCAGATTTATTTACTGTACAAACTTCCTAGTTGGAGCCCACTTCTTTTATTACTATAAATATTACATTATTGAAAATATGAGGAAAATGAAGAATCGATTACGGCAGATGAAAACAAATGATTTTCATCATCATCAACTCATTCTACTCTGATATGTATTTTTTTAAAAGATTCAATAATTTAATTTTGAACATTGAAGCATACACGAACACATCTAAAAGCACAGAGGCAGGGAAAAATTCAAACAGTATAACATCATTAGTCACTACAACACAGTTTATAACAGGGTTGAATTGCCATTGCTACTACTACTACTACCATTACTCCTATGACACTTTATATAATCAGTTAAACATCAAAATAAGCGTAAAATTATTCTTGTTTTCGTGAAATTTCATCTCATTCAATAGAGAAGAACAAAGACTTCACATTATATCACACTGATTTCACATGTACATAATAGAGAATTACGTTTGGAAAAAAAGAAAGCTGATCAATGTCAATATTAACCATAGTGATTATTTAAAAAACGTACATATATTAAATCGTTTGATTTTGATTTTCTTTTTTCTTCTAATAAATTGGTTACAAAAACACGTATACATCAATTGCCATGATGTCAAACTGTACAAAAATGTTTAGTGATACGTCAGGTTAATTAGTATTATTACTTGTGAGAGTGAGTATAAAGTACTAATGAATGAATAGCATGTTTAGATAGCTTTCTGAATTTATTGACGAATAAATCAAGTTATGTACATGAGTTAGATCTATTGCAAAGTATTGAATAATACTACTGATAAATTGAATGGAACTATGCTCATTTACCGGGCTTCTGATAAACCAAGACAACATTTATTACACAGTTCGATTACATATACTGCTCAGATGAAGCATAAAATTAATACGTTATTTAAGGTACATTTCAAATCCATATGTAACTCAATACTAGTCATTGACAGTTTGAATATGAAAGTTAATGAAACGTAATGATTTCATTGAAATCATGAATCGATCATTACTAGACCACTATGAAAAACTTGAAAGTACTTGAAGACCGTTTCATTTCAGTATATGACTCATCAGCAGTGCGCACTCATGATCCCCACTCGCGGTAATCGAAACCAGGACCTTCTATTTCGTGTGCGAATACTTAACCTCTACACCACTGGGTCGGCATCTAACAATGTTAATATCTAACTTTCAATGAAATCTAGCAATCATCACAACTCTATGATGAAAATCATAATACCACTGATTATCAAAGAATGTATCTTAGTAATTTAATAGAATTACTATGATAGAAAATAATCTATTTTATAGTTTTGTGTTGTTACCATTGTATTTCCTTTTTTCAGGAAATTTTGATGAAATTATATTTTTGAATTACAAGCTCTTTTCTTCATTATTACTGATTTTCTTTGAAGCAATGAAATGGATCTGTTTGACATTTTTCAAAGTGTATTATATATATACATTGCATAAATCTAAGAAATAAAATACAATCGGACAGTTAAAACTTCTCTCTGTGTTTGTTATTTGTTACGATAGTCAGGAAAAGCGATAAATGATTGGTTAGTTTGTGACTTTCTGATATTATTGTTCATAGTTTTTTTTTTGTTAAAAAAAGAAGAAACGTTTTCTAAATGATATTGATGAAACTAACTTATTTATAGATCACGTACATACTCAGGCTTTAAATCACATTGTTATATATCAGTGCTAATCAAAGTAGCTACGTGCTTAAACCAGTACAGTTTTGAAAAATTACACTTCTTGGGTGAATTCCAAGCAGCATTTTAAATTCATCATTAAACTATTTTCGTCATGTAATTTGTACTTTAAAAGTAGCCTTAGTGTACTAAAACATACTCGATAAATCGATTCAATTTAATTTTGGAGATCAAGTACCGTGAGTTAACTTATACAGTTTGACCGTTTGAGTCATTTCCGTAAACTGAACATAACAATTAAGCTTTTACATCATAATATTACTGCTTATACGCAAGAAATCAATAGAATAGATGTAATCAAATAAATTTTTGCATTGAAATTAAGCATCACAAACCAGAATTCTCTAATTTAAGAGGGGAAAAAACAATGACAACTGAAAATTTATTCATGACAAAGAAGATTTGGAAATTTCATTTCAATGTTTAGTGACTGTAATCATATTTAAAGAAAAAAACAAAACAACGATCATTCAAACATTGACCAAACAAGACTGTAATTGAAGAATATGTTAAAATAAAATGAAATGCATTCCTGTGGGAAGATATAGGAAGATATATTAACAATAGTGTATTATGAACATAGAGAAGATATTTTAAATACTCAACAAATTATGCAACTAGGTTACAGATAACTCCGCCAGTAGTCCCTTCGGGGCTACTGTCGGTCCCAAGCCCGGATAAAGGAGGACGGGTTGGACATGGGGTTGGCGCCCCCATCCCAACTAAAACTAACTTGCCAAAAAAACGCTAAACAGAAAAATGTAAGTAAGTAAGTAGGTTACAAATAAAATGTGTTTGATGGTGACGGATCGAGTATACAAGTAGTCATGCGTTCACTTTCAAGACTTTTAACATAATCTGTTAGTTTATTGCAACCAATTTACCGAGATGGAATAAATATATTAAATCGTTTAGAGAACGATATAATCAATAAGTTGCTTTGAATATGAATCCACATCAGAGTGGTTTTAAAAACCATGAATGTTGTACTCAATAATCAGAGTCGTTCAACTTAATTTAAGGATAGTATTTCAAATATTTGATTGTTGTGATATATAGATTATAACACCAGATTTGTACAGAATCATAATCCTAAGATATTCACCTTTTTCAGTTTTTATTCAACAAATTAAAAAAAAACTTATTAAGTTTAAATGTAATCAATAGGAGTTCGGATATTATTCAGAACTTCATTAAGCTTTGAATATACATGTAAAAGATAGATTAATCAGTGCCACAGCTCAACACATCTGAATAAAAACACAGATAGACAGACAGACAGATACAACGCAGAACTTCGTACGTAGGTACATCAGTTCAGGTTGCTATACCACATCAGCACAGAGACGCAACTGTCAGTTCAAATCCAATAGTCGAAGCGATAGTAGAAGTAATAGTATGGTGTGAGCTACTTATAAGTAGTATATGACATGAGTGTCAAGGTAATGTCGGGCAGCTGAAGATGGGAGAAGATCAAGGAGGGAAGAGTTAGAACACAATGGAATTTGTATGAAACGCATGAATAGTAACAATGGATTGATGTTTTGCAACAGGAACAGTCCAGTTCGATATGATGAACTGATATTTTGCAAATTAACCGTTTACGATATGGTTTTCCTATTTTACTGAGTAACTCTGTAATTTTCGTTAAATACAATTCAGTTGCCCTCACCTGTGTTCTCCTTCACTACAGCAGTAATGGAGAAGATTAGGGATCGAAGATATGATTCGAGAAGTATAATTCAGTGAAATAAATTTAGAAATAAAAAGATAGAGATGATGAGGAATACAGAAGATTAGAATGTTGGATAACATAAAGAGTGGATATATCTGCGCCATCACAAACCATTTTGAGCTATGTCGTTCACGGTCTCTAACAATTGGTGACTTTCACATCGCGGACCCCAACCAGGTAGCCTACATCTACCAACATGAATCAGTCCACTAGTCAGTGACTTCATGAATTTCTGCCATGTTTTGGTCTGGCCGCCCCTAGCTTTCTTCCAACCTACTCCT